TCACATGACCATGTGTCATCGTCAGGCAACGGATAAGTCCACCCCGCAAAGTCCTTGCCGTCCCTGTTACCCACATTGTCCGGGTGGTGGTGTGGCAGCGGCATCAGTTTTTCGCCTCTTCGTGGGATCGTCAGGGTCTTGGTTTGGCCTCTTCAAGAGTCCATGGAGTTGGTTTTTCTGCTCCTCAGTGAGCGAGATTCCAAGGCTGTGCACAAAGGATTCAACGGCCATGGGGATTTGTTCCGGCTCTGCGGAACCAGGCGTCAGCTCGGTCGGAGCCGGAGTCTGGTTGATGGCCTTCATGTAGTCTTGCGAGAGCTGATGGAGGGCTTTCTGGCCGTCAGCCAGCTTGGTTTGGAGGTCCTGCATGTCTGTGAGCAGTGCGGCATATTGGGCCTTGACGCCATCGATCTTCTCCTGAAGTTGGTTCTTCTTGATTGACATGGCTTTCAACTCCGTCACCTGTCCTTTCAGCTTGGTGGCTATTTCTCTTTCGGTGCAGGGCTCTGGTGCTGTGAGCTTGGTTACAATCTGCTGGACCTGAGGGGGCAAGGCATCCATATGGGACTTGAGGATGTCTGTCAGCTCCGGCTCCTCAGGCTTGCTAGGCCCAATGCCAAGCGCTTGCAGCTTTGTCTGTGTTTCTTCAGGTAGCACTGACCAGCTCGTAGTGAGGAGATCTGTGGCCTCTTTCTGCACCTTAGTCTTCTTGAGGGGCTTGATCTTGGAGAGTCCTGGCGGGGAGTCTGGCCATGTGGTGTGTGCTTGACTCCGGTAGGCTGGTCGTCCAAAGCCCTTGCCCTTCCCTGTGGCAGGCGCTGGTGATGGCCACCAGTTGCCACATCGACGGCATTTGCTGCCGGTCTTCACTCGATCGGTCCAGATCCAGTTGTTGCACTCTTGCTTTGAGCAGGTCATGTATGCCCGCCCCCATTGTGGTGACATAGTGCCAAATGAGGGTCACGGTAACCTGTCAAAGGCAGTGTTGTTGGCACAGGTGGTGGCACCGATCACGATCAGGCCTGGAAGGTTCGTTACCAAGTAGGGATAACGGGCAAAGAGGTAGGTGATCTTGTCCTGAAGGAGGGTGGTGTTCAAGGCGAGAAACTGCCAGCCACCGTAGGTCAGGTCAAGAGCGGCAGTGGAGTAGTCGAGAATTGCGAGCAAAGGAATCCAGTGACGTACAGGACCTTCCGGATGTCTGTGGCTTAAGCCTGTATCCGGATTGGTATGGGACCGGCTCGAACCCTCACGGCCTTGAGCCATGTATGTATGTATGTATGTATGCATGTACGTATACACATATATTGTCAAGTGCTGTCATGTCACACCTTTTTCTGCTTGAAACTGAGATTGTTTCAGGTTCCTCACAGTCTCAACCTGGTTCGCTTCACGGCAGGTGTTGGAAATAGAACAACTAGATTATTAAGTGATCGGGCTTTTGCAAAAGTATTTTTTGCTCGTTTGGCGAAACGACTAGACTTTGTGATCCTCATAAACAAACGGGCTTACCCGTGGGGTGCCTGATCCTGGAATGACAAATTCAAGGCCCCCCGCCTGTGGTAGAGAAAACTGCTCTTGAGCTTTACATAATCAATCACTCAGCCATCTCAAATAAAAGACCCTGAGCACAGATGTGCATGCATTTTAGCTTTGCAAGTTCTTGCACCCCACTCTTCACATCCCTAAATCCAGACCCACAGGAAAAAATAGACTCCCTGTTCAAGCTGACAACATGATGAACACTTGATTCTGTAAAGACAGTCGGCTGAACAAGTTAGACAAAATGCAGAAAATGCGTGATCTGGACTAGATGCCTCACTGCAGCGCTATGATGTCATTTTGTAAACATGTTCGTGTATATATAGGGGGGGAGCTTTGATTTTGTAAATGAAACTTCAATTGATTACCTGAGAACTATTTACAAAATCAAGGTCATTATATAGTGTAAGAACACCTTTTTGTCTCAACAAAAGCAACCAATGAGAAAATCAAGCAAACGCACGCCACCCAATATCGAGATTCTTGCGTCCAAAGAGTCAAAAATCCTGTTCAGGCCCTGGGCAGTTGGACGTAATGGCCACCAAGATCCAAAAGTATGCAAAGTTGCCCAACCAGGCCTTTTTTGGACATTCTTGACATCTACTTGCTGGGCCAATTGTGCAACAAAGATGTGGCTATTGGTGTGCACACTAACAAGGGCACACTGGAACCTTTCACAATGGAGCATGTCTTGGAAAACAAGATCCATGAAATGTGTGGGGAAAGAGTTGGTCTGGCCGACGAAGATCAAGTTGTTCATAGATCTTCCAATAATGCGTTGTTGTTTCTTTCATGCAACGCTTCCTAGTTGCCTGCCGGTGTCAAGAACCATTGGGCACCTGCCTTCTTCAAGCAGCAGTTTGATGAAGAAGATTGGAAGACTGTGACAGAGCTCAGCCAGCCAACACAAAAGAAGTTGGACATGGCCGGAACACATTTGCAGCGTATCCAAACCTTGGTGAAATAGATTTTCCAGAAGATCCTGACCTTCTTCGATCTGAACAAAGATCCCTTGTTAGAGCAGGTTGCAATGTGCTAGAATTCGATTGATTTCAGGAAGATGCAGAATCTTTGGACATAGGTTTCTTTGAGGTACCAGGAGATGATGACTGCATGATCTGCGACAGCACCTTTCCTATAGTTACAAATCGAGACACCTTTCCTATGCGCCACAAGATCACAGCAGCCAGCCTAGACAGAGCAAAAACGAAAAATGTCAAACACATTAGGATCCGTGTCCACAACTTCATGATACCCCATTGGGTCGACGTCTGATTCGGTAACCAAACGGTCTTCGCTTTTAGGGGCAGCGCGATACACTCCGCTGTAAATACAACGATCAGGAGACTACGATGGAGAAACCAACCGATTGTTTTCAACCATGTGCTGCTTAAACCCTTTGCAGCCACATGGAACGTTATTATCTTGGCCATCGCTCTATTCAGGCGTATGCTGCAAATACAAACATATTCTTGTCTTACTTGAATGAATGTAAAAGCCCTTTCCCACCACATCGAATGTTATTATCTTGGCCATGGCTCCCCCCACCCCCCACCCACCCACCCCACACTCCTCCTGCCATCCACTCTTCATATGATATAAATACAAACATATTCTTACTTGAATGAATGCCAAAACATGCAAAAACCCTTTGCGTCCACATGGAGCTCATGGAACGCCATTCAGCCATTTGCTGTATACATACAAACATATTCTTACTTGAATGAATGTTAAGACCCTTTGCATCCACATAGAACGTTATTATCTTGGCCATGGTTCCCCCCCACCCCCCATCCCACACTCCTCGTGCCCTCCACCCCATTGCGACCATCGTCTGGGTTTGTCTGACTTGGTTTCTGCACCGGCTGTTTTGGCTTCTGAATCGGGACTCGCTTGGTTTCTGAATCGGCCTATTTGGTTTCCGAATCGGCTCATGTGGTTCCTGAATCGGACCATTTGGTTTCTGAATCAGACTGCCTTGGTTTCTGAACAGTTGCTGAATCGTCCCTTTTTGGTTTCTGAATCGTAGTTTCTGAATCGGCTATTTTGGTTTCTGAATCGTAGTTTCCTGATCGGTTGGTTTCTGAATCGGCAAATGTCCAGGACACCCACTCTCAGCACACCAAATTGCAAAGTCCTTACATTTTCAAAACCCCCAGTCTGATTTTCCAACAAAAAACACCTGTACAAATCAGCACTGATTTTGACACCCTAGGGTGTCTGATTCTGGACGGGTCTTGCTTTAGGGGATACTTTGTGTGCAATTATTCTGATTGATCGTGCAATTTGAGGTAGACAAACCATGACTTCTGACAAGAGAGCTAGAAAGCCAAGTGGTCAAGCAAGCAAGCGCTATGTGCCTCAAACAAGGAGGAGTACACACACACAACACACACACACACTCACATGCGCAGCGAAGGACGTTCTTGCGAGGTCCGACAATTGCCACAACTTCAAAGCAAAAGGGACTTACGCAATGGGCAACCATGTACTATTTTGCTCCTTCAATCACAAATGGGTCTGACAGCACAGCTCTGTCGGTTGTCCTGTTGGGCAACCTATTGCCCCGAACGTGCCAAACTGCAAACAATATTGTTGGCCATACGAGGCCAAGCGATCAGCGACGCGAGAGGCCAAACTGGGGCTTTAGCAAGCCATGAGATTCGACATGCATTGGCCAAGTGAAACCAAGCATGCTGAAAATGCTGGGCATGCAGCTTGGTAATGCTTGGTGTGCCAACTTCTTTGCGAACAGTTTCTTTAGACCTTCGTGACCTTCGTGCCAATACTGGTGAATGCTGACCATTGTCAAGGAACGGACGTATATATCTCTGATTTTCTTGGAGATCCTTCCGAGTCACTCAACTTGACCGTCTTAATGTCATTCATGCAGCAGCAAAATTGGAAGCTGAGTGCCGCTCCAAGCTACTATAAGCAAGGCCTTGCTTGGCAGATTTATGCACAGAGATCTGTCTGTTTTGGTACACTGAGATGCTCACGCCAGCCACTGCTGGACCTCGCCCACGCCTGAATCTCAACTGGTTTAAGAAGGGTTCCATACGCAGCAAAATATGTGTCCAGCCTTCCTGGGCAGTTCAAAACCACCATTGGGACCGCTTGATCTTCAAAATGGCTGGACAAGCCGAAATGTCACTGGTGGGCTATTCAAGCATCTTCGGAATGCAAACCTTGAGTCTAAGCCTAAGCAGGTCTTTCCATTTTCCCAGAATCCAGGCTTCGCAACGAACATGTAGTAACAAGAACTGATCTCTTTAAGAAAAACTGATTCCAACAAACTTCCTGGTGTCTGTTTGGATTGGTAGGCTGCCAATCATCTAAAAAACGACTGTGTCTTTCAGTCAGTCTTCGAGTATTATGGTCTATTCCTGGTGTATACTGGGTATGCGACATCCTACAGCGCAAACCAGGAGGAGGACATGAGATGCAAAGGCCGATGCCTTGTAGTATGCACCTGCGTTGGCATCTTGCGGCATGTTCCGGACCCTTTGAAGGGCAATCTCAACCTGCCACGACACAGGCCAACTGGGCTAACTCCCGAACTTCAAATTGACCGAGCTGAAGCTCCGCCGAGCTGGCGGTGGGCAAGTAAGAACGGAAGCTTGCTCGATTCAGAGGTCGTCCGAGCTTGACCATCTCCATATGAGCTCCAAAAAGGAGGCTGTGCACCTCGGAGTGTGAAACCTTAAAAACTCCGTGGATCTTGAAACCACAGAGCTTCCAATATGCCTCCATAATGGACAGCAAATCAAAGGCATCCTTTTGAGCCTGGAATTGGACAAGCAGTGGACTGCTCAAGTCACATCGAAGCAATTGAGTCCTGCCTCAATATAGTAGGATCGAGCAAAACTTCCCACAGCCTCTTCAATTTTGCCCCTGAGGCCGTTGTGACATTTTGCGGTGCACTTGAATCAAAGATGGAGCCCACGAACCCGAATGCAAACACGAGCTACATATGTCCAAATGACACTCTTGTAGGACACTCTTGTGGGACACTCCTCCGGGACACTCTTGTCGGACAGTCTTGTAGGAAACTCTTGTGGGACACTCTTGTGGGACACGCTTATAGGACACTCTTGTGGGACACTCTTGTGGGACACTTTTGTAGGACACTCTTGTGGGACACTTACGGGACACTCTTGTGGGACACTCTTGTAGGACACTCTTGCGGGACACTCTTGTAGGACACTCTTGTGGGACAGTCTTGTGGGAAACTCTTGTGGGACATTCTTACGGGCACTCTTGTAGGACACTCTTGTGGGACACTCTTACAGGGGACACTCTTGTGGGACACTTACGGGACACTCTTGGCGGACACTCTTGTAGGACACTCTTGTGGGACACTCTTATAGGACACTCTTGTGGGTCACTCTTATGGGACACTCTTGTCGGACACTCTTGTGGGACACTCTTGTGAGACAGTCTTGTAGGACACTCTTGTGGGTCACTTGCAGCACAATCTTGTGGGACACTCTTGTAGGACACTCTTGTAGAAAACTCTTGTGGGACACTCTTGTGGGGCACTCTTGTGGGACACTCTTGTAGGACACTCTTGTGGGACACTCTTGTAGGACACTCTTGT